ATATTATTTTTATTTAAATTGCAACGCTCCTTTTTAATGAGTTCCTTGGCGGATGTTTCCCTGTGTGCCATTCATGTGTCTTGTGTGACCCCTTAAGTTTGTGTATGTGTCTTATTGCTGTGCATGTGTGTGTGTGTGTGTGTGTGTGTGTGTGTGTGTGTGTGTGTGTGTGCTTGGAGACTTCTTGTTTATATTGTTACGGAGAAGGAACGGTTGCATACTTGCGGTATTGTAAAAGTGTACCTTCAGCCTACAGGTGTCATTCTCCAGCGGTTGTTATTTTTACTCATTCAGTTGTTTTCATACCAATCCTCCAAAAAATAATAGAGCAAATATTTCCAAAGGATACGAGCGATGAATGACAGCAAACGCCAACAGACTTTCCAGTATCTTAAACATATGGTCTTTGGATTCGGCCCTCAAACCAAATTATATGAAGAAAAACAAACAAACATAGGACAACAGGTATTGATGCAGAAGTTATAGAGACATATTCACAAGGAGAAACTCTGCAAAAGACCTTATGCGTACTGCATGAACTCTATTTTCATGCACTGCGAACTTTACTGCGTCCTTCGTGACAATTCAACAAATGTCTCAAGGGGCTAAAATTAGTGTTTCAGACAAAAGATCAAAAGTTCAAGGGTCAAAAATATTTTGTGGACCAAATCCTATAACTTTTCTCAACAAGCATATATCCTTTTTTCTAAAAATGTTTTGCAAACTAAATATGCATTTGCTCATGTGGCTCAAACTACTCCAAAGTAAAACCTTTTTGTAACTTTGATTTCGGCTTAATTCTACAATGTAAACATCTTTTTATTTTTACACGTGGATTATTATAATTATGGCAAATAATATGAAAAGTAAAAAACTTAATTTCTATAGCAGACATACAGTAATTAGTATATATTTTTCCGATATAAAACACGTATGCCTGGAAAACCTTTTTCCGGCCTCATGCACGATGCGTTCATTTGTTCATTTGTTCATTAAGACGTTGTGCTCATTTGATAGAATTGCTGGAACTACATTCCTTGTTATGTTTTCCTCTCAAAAAAAAAACCTTCTGGCTACGTTGTCAACTCCTTGCCCTCTAGCAGTGCTCAAAGAAATGCATTTGTGTTGAGCAATGCAACCAACAGATCCTCCCCTGCAGCTTCCTCTTGCCACAGGTGCGTCCCAACCTAATAAAATGCGTAAGTAGAGCTTAAAATCTCCACCGTTCCCTTCCGTTTGGCTCACAGTTTCCTCTCCTGTCCCGTCCCTCACGGCCTGCAGTCTGCTGTGTTTTCATATTCACCAACTCCCCCGTTCTTACACCCGAACCCCCTCTCCTCCCCTCCAGCCCCGATCCTACTCAGGACAATGTGGAGTTTCAGGGAGTGGCTGCTGCTGTTTGGCGGGTGGAATATTAAAAAGCCATGCGGCTGATGAGGTGGTGGTCGTGGTGGTGGGGAAAGGGGGGGGGGCTACAGAGTTTGTCCAGACTCTTGGAGCCTCTCTAGTCCAGGCCAAACAAAGGCACACCAGCATTCTGCTGAAGACGTCTCACCATTCACTTCATTATCACAACTCGGAGGAGCAAAGGTCACGCACACGCTGATAAAGGGGCGAGCTTCAAACATTACATACATACATTTTTCGCAGAAAAAGCATGTGTGGAAAAATAAATAAGTTTAGGAGGAAGTAGGCTCATTGTTGAAAGGGAAAGCATTGCTGTTCTGGGAAACCCATCAGGGCTTTACGGTAACAGGTGCATCACTCAGTGGAATCACAGTGTGAGGAGCAGACTGAGAGAAACATGCCCTGGGCTCCTCATACCTCCGTCAACCCTCAGCCTGCATTCCTCCACGACAAACCAAGCAGCCGAGCAGTTACAGAGGTATACAGGGAAGCAGAAAAGAATACAGATCTATGTACTTCACCGTAATAAACTGATAAAAACACAATATAATTATTGTGGTTTTAGAGAATAATTAGCAGGATCTTTGTGTTTAGGTCATGATGGAAATGTTGTCCAGCAGTAAGAGCAGGATGGGATTCGGTGGTCAAAGGAGGAGCAGGAAAAGTAGGCTAGGTGAAAGGAAGAGTCAATGGGAGACACGAAAAAGAGAAAGATAGCCGCAGTGGGAGGCGAGGCGATGAGAGAGCTCCTTTTTCGGCAGCAGTCGTGCGTAGAGCCAGCGCTGATCTCTGTTTGTGTGCAACCATGCATGGTTATGTGCTCACATGCACACGCACACAAACAGTCTCACAACAGGCCAAAGCTCAAGGACACTCGGGTCTCAGTGGCCTACTCAGAGGGGTGAGTTTCAACACACTGAGAGGAAGTCGTTTGAACGTCTTTTGACATTCATCAAAGTTTCCTCATCAATCCCACCTTTGGATTTGTGCGGGCATCTCCGAGGGGCCACTCTTACCATTTTAGGATGAAAAGCTGTCCTTTTCCCCCCCGAAGTGACAGTGTGTGTAGCGAAGATATCTTGAAATCTTAAAATAAAATAAAAAAGTCATATAACAATAGAAAGTGTCAGCATGGGTTTGTCGCATTGGTGCCACTTTTATTTTATAATTTTATTTTCACCAGTATTTTACTGGTTCATAACTGATAATTTCCAAAGAAGTTTCCTGGAAAAAACAATTTGATTAAGAAATAATAATATTAAAGTATTTGTAATTTAAATGGAGCAGTTGTTTCAATGAGAAGTACTAACCTTTATTGAAATAACTGTTATAAAGAATATACAGAATAATCTACATATATTCATTCCAAATTGTCTGATGAAACTGTGTCTGCTATTGCCTTGTTATTAGTCACATTCAGTAGAATTTTTGGAATTCTTAATAAAATCTCTATGAATTATTCCAATCCCACCCTAATTCATATTAAGTCATATTTAAAAAAATATTTTCCAGCTTATCTTGGGACTAAACATACATACTTAATGCCCATGTAACCAGTTAAGAATTACTGCTTGACCTTCACGTGCATTTAACAACTTTCTAACAATAAAGCAACATTTGTCTCAGAAACCAGGGTTGGTTGTGTTGATCCCTTCCTGGATTCTTCTTCTCAGATGTTTGTTTCTGTTTAACCTTTTAGTGTGTTAATCTCTGAGCACTAATGAGAGCCGGAGAGAGAAAAATAGGATGGGGCACGAGAAAGAAACCACAAACCGTTCACACCGCCAACGAGCCTATGAAAAGGGAAAGGGCCGGACACACGTCCACGTTACGCCCTTTTCCCTGTGCACTTCTCTTCTCCCTCTTCAAGGTATCTGAAATATCACGTTTTAGTCAATGACATGAGAACGTCCTTTAAATAATTGAATTGTGTAAATGCCACAACATGTGGCGTGAAGTAATGCAGAGGAGCCGACCGAGTTTCTTTCCTTTTTCTTTTAACAATCCTGATCCGAGGCCAAATTGCCCTGTAGGTGTTTGCGTTCATGTGCGTGTTATATATCATCAGGGTGTGTGCGCGCATGTGCGTGGGCCAGTTGCACAGCACGCACCCCTGTGTGTTACCACGATACATTCCATCATGTGCCAAAAACACGCACACACGCTCGCACGCACGCACGCACACACACACACACACACACACACACACACACACACACACACACACACACACACACACACACACACAATTAACAGATAAAAAAAACACATGCAATTATTCACATTACTTTCTTTTTGTGCATTTGTGTGTGTGTGTGTTTGTGTAAATGTTGGTGTGTGGGTGGAAGACAAGACACTTTACTAAAATGAAGACCGTACGTGTCCAACTGCTTTTAGATTACTGATAAAACTTTGAGCTTTGACTTTGCGTGCTTGGAAGTGTGTGTGTACGTGTTTTGTTGTGAAGTCATTGTTAAAGTGAACACATCTTCAAGCAATGCGCATCACAGTTTGTAGTCAACATCGTCAAATCGGTCCCCATTTATCTGCAGATAAACCGTCAACTTGTCACAGTCTGTTTCCATCTTCAATCTGACGTTGCTTCAAATCTAACCACTTCCCATGGGTATATATATTAATGAATATTAAATAAACATTCTGCTTTTAAATTTACCACATTTTGTACTTCACTGATCATTTAATAAAACTGTTTGTATACATCAAAACCCTTAACACCAAGTAAAGTAGCTCAAATTTGCAGCAGGTGGACTGATTTAAACCTTAGAAGTCACTCTATGTACACATCAATAATAATGATACATGTAATAATACTATGATGGCACAAACCTCTAAAATAAAACCTAAGTACATTTACTTACATATCATTTTAGATTAGAGTAAAATACATCGAATCGTATTTATTGGTTGTTTGTTAAGGAGTCTATGTTTTGCTTTGTAGTCATTATAAGGAATTGACAAGGAAGGCACCTTTAATCATATCGTTAATTTAAAGTAACATATCGAACACATGCAGCACAGCAGTAAAACAATCACGAAAAACAACACGTCTTTATCTGGGGACTACAATTAGTTTTTTTCTGTTTAAATGCACAACATTTTAAACCCTCACACATTTTTCTTTCACTTGGTTGTAAAACATTCGTTTGTGATTTAAGCTTCCTTTAAAGCTTATACCTCTTAAAATTCTTGCATCTTTGATCCCTATAAAAACGAAGAAACCAAAACCTGTGCATGACATGGAAATAAAGGGGGAGAGTGAAAAATGATACTGAAAAGGTATTAACATTTAAAAGCTGAGTTCCAGGCTTTTCTCATAGTCATTTCACACCTCTGGGATCCCCACTCTCTCTCTCCTTAGTCCCACCATAATGAGATTCAAAACACTCCTGCCGCAGATTGTCTTGCAAAGTGTCCTCCTGGCTGCACACACGCTCATACACATGAAAGCCAGTTTCTCTCTGGCATCTGAAGAGTTAATAATCCTACACCTGTCCTATCAGACACCTGTTTCACTTCTCTCAGCCAATCCGAGAGCAGAGGGAAACTCACTGCTGGCATGAAATAAACGTGGGCCCGGTTCAGAGGGAATCACAACACTTGACTCATCAGTGTCACTGATCTCCTCTGCTGTACGGATTCACTCCCTGACTGAGAGACACGCAGAGAGAGAAGCTCCTACAAACAGCAAAGAGTTGAATTAAAGGAACCTATTCCGGCGGATTGGATTGGAGACATGACCAAAGAGACTGAGTGAGTTGTCTTATCTTAACTTATCATATCTTGCAACTTGGGTTTTTGTCATGATTTTACTTTTCCAAAGTATGTTTTCCCCATTTCAACATTTTCAGTTCATGTGAATCAGTAAATAGTTGATGTTTTTTTCTGGGGGACAGAAATCCCCTTTCTTTATATTAGTGATGTGAAATATGTGTATTTTGCAGGGTAAATTGATATGGCTACTTTTAACACGCACAAGTTGTCCTGTGTTGGTAGTGGGTCTGTTTCAGCCCGCGTTGTTACTAACCCAGGGGCCACAGCGCACAAAAGGAGGTCGGGAAATGAGAATCCTCTCTTGAGTGTGTCGGACACAGACGGATGTCTGCGTGTAATGCATTGTACATTACGTAATGCCGAAACCCTAGACACCAACTGCCCCCCCCACCCCCCTAGTCCACCGCCTCCTTGTCTGTGTAGAAACGTCTGCACTCGCCGGGTATTAGGGGGCAATTGAGAGTAAGTAATGGGATTGTGTGGTGCTTGTTGAGGCCGCTCGGTGTGAGAGGGAGCGACAGGTGCATCTTGGAGCAGCTTTAGTTTTTGTGACGTCGCTGCACATCAGATCTAGTTTTCCAGGTCTTTAGTGTTTTGAATGCACTTCCTCTTCTTGTGAGGTGCCGGTGGGAAATCACTGCATTTCTACCGAAGCTGTGGGGCTGCTGCAGGGATCCGGCACACCTGTGGTCTTTTCCTCCTGTCAGCACTTTTAATTAGCTGTTTGCTCAGAGTAAACTGCAGCTATTTGTTCATTAGCTTCTTCAGGCCAAACTCCAAAGGGGGATTCTCCTGACAATCAAATGTCACCATGAGTCTTTCCAGACAAATCCAGTCCTCTCACCCCCCCACCACCCCACTCACCTTGATTTTTTTTTTTTACATATGCTATGAAAAGCCCAAAGTCAGCACTTGTGGCCATGCATTTACTTAGTAATAGCATCTTGTCTTGTTGTTTAAGGCTTATTCAAATGAGAGAGGATTCAAGAAAGTAGTTTTTTGTCCTTCTATTCCAGAAACCACAAAAAACAAGGTGCGTGGGTCTGCGATGAGGGGAGGAGGGGGGGGGGGTGTTAATGGGTGGGTTTTTAAACCTTTTTGACACCACTGCTTTTAAGGGATGTTCCAGGGTTTTGCAATCAAAACCTTCCATGCTCAGGGGCAAGTATGTGCATCATCCCGCAGCTCAGGAACTACTGTGAAACATACTGTCATTCTGTAAAACCCTCTGTGTCAAATAAACACAATTCAACATTTTTACACTTTTTTGTCTGTTTTTCCGTTTACAGAATACTTTTAATCGTCAATCTAATCATTCACTGTCAACTCTTTTCTCCACAATGCAGGACTCTGGGACTGGTCCATCAGAGCGAGAACTTCATCTATAACCGTTACAACAGCTACGCCATGGACTCCTGGTCCTACCTGGAGAGCCCCGTCCTCGAGCAAACCGCCCCCAAACCCAGACTCCAACCGGGAGAAGACCTAACAGCCTTAACCCTGCTTTATGAGCAGTGCAAGGTAGGACACGTGGGACTGAATAACCATCCAAAATGACCTCTGTGTTAACCCAAAGAGGAATTCTAACTCTGGCCACTTGCATTTCTTAAATTCGTTATTTTTCCAGAACCACAAAGATCAGAAGATGGTTACCAGCAACCGCCTCGGCAACATCTGCAAAACAGAGAGGTAAGACACAAGCTCACCGAACTGTTACTGTGGTAGAATCAATAGATTCAACAGTCATTCCAAGAAAAGCTTTGTGGCCCAATATAAATGTCCCCTGTTGTCACTGAATAAAAAAACATTTGAGAAAGTGTTATAATAGAAAAAGAAAGGCACGGCTTTGGGAGGCATTAAACCAGTGAGTGAGTAATCCCCAAGTCAACATGGTCGGGGGGATTATCGTTAACCTTTTCAGTCGTCCCATCCATCCATATGCTCTCTATCATCGTCTGCGTCTTTCGCAACAGGCCTCCCTCGGTCCTCGCTTGCCTCTCCGAACCTGCACCTTTTTTTAGGTGGGTGAGAAACGGCTATTGTTGGGGCGCCGTGTTGTCACCTCAAATATTTTGAACTGGGAAACTCAAACACAGCGAGTTAAAGGAAAGAAAAAAAAGAGATGGATTAAGAGACAAATACCAGGGCCTCCCCACCGCATCTTTCTGCGAGTTCACCTTGCAGTAGCTGTGTGTGCTTTTGCTGACTGTTATATGTTTGCACAGGCTGACTGACTGTTTTTCCTCACTCCGGCAGGAATCAAACCAACGCCAATGAGCTCGATTCATTGGAGGCGTCCGCCAACGTCCCCTTGAGTCATTCCCAGGAGTTTTTGGGATCCAAGCAGGACGCCTCGCTGGCTATCCCTGCCACCGCCGCCTCAGACAGCTACGCCACCCTAACCAGCGTGGTGACAGACAATTACGACAAGCAGGAGCTCAACATTATATTTGATTCCCTGTTGACCGGTCCATTCCCCGATCATAGCACAGAGGTAAATTTAAAAGAATTAGCATTTGAAATCCCTATTTTTCCGGTGTCTTTTATATAGTATCTGTAATGGCACCTCTTCTCTTTCACTAACAAATCTATTTCTGTGAATTTCAGACTCTTCCCTACAGCGGATCCTTCCCGGACGAACAATCCAGCCCCGTCTACTCGGGCTCCTACGGCGGCTCCCCGCCACAGAGATTCAGGAATGAGTTCCAGTTTTCACTGGGAGCTCCCTTGGCTTCTTCCTGCAAGTCCAGTGAGCTGCCCATGGTCTACCTGAACAAGGGCCAGTTCTACCCCATCACCCTCCAGGGGGTCGACAGCCGGGCCTGCCACGCTGCCACTAAAGTCAAGGTGAGTCACGGTAACAGAGTCGCTGTTTTCACTGCGGTTAGTTACGGAAAAAACAAATCTGTTGTCTGTTGTTCTTGGAAGCATTTTTCCCGTCAGGCTTTCTTCACGGACGCATTATTAAATAAATGACTTGCGTGCCACCTAGCCAAACCCTTCCCAAATATACTTGCTGGCCCTCCCTTGGAGTCAGCTCCCCTGTGACTAATTCCCCGCTGACACCCTGAACACCGGGGTGGCACCGTTGAAATGACGGTGCCCTGTAGTTTGTATTCTTGCCGGTGGCGTAACGAGGCCAGAGGGCAACGGAGCTCTCCGCTCAACTCCCTGACAAAGTGGAGGAAGAAAAAAAAGAAGGAGTGGACGGAGGGGAGGTGTAGTGTGGTGTCGATTTAAAACACAGGTTACAAACCTTTTTTTCTTTGTCAAGCAAATCAGAGGATAAGAACACACACAAACACACACCCGCTTACTGCAAATAAGTGATGACAATGTCCTGAGAAAAGGGGGATTTGGAGTGATTAATGAAACGGGATGGAGATTCTTCGGCGCGACGGCCGCTGAAAGAATTGCGCTCAGTTAGGCGAACGTTCCTAATGGTCGGCTTTCCCGTTTCCTTTCTCTTTCCCCGCTCCAGACGGTGGTGATGGCTCTGTTTGAGAACGACAAGAACCCAGAAATGCAGCTCCGCTTCTGGAATCACTGGCACGCTCGTCAGCCCACTGCCAAGCAGAGGGTTATTGACATCGGTATGTGTTTTTCAAATAGTACAAAAATACACATGCAACTTCAGGTCGCGCACAAGTTAACAGACACCAACACCAATCACATGAAAGGGAATCAACAATTATCAATTACCAAATAAAGAAGATTGAAAATATATCTATTTTTCCCTCCTTACAGCAGACTACAAAGAAGTTTTCAGCGGCATCAGCAATGTGGAGGAGTTGGCCTTCAACGCTCTTTCCTTCGTTTGGAACCCCAATGAGGAGGCCAAGGTAAACACACACACGCAGAGTGTTTTTATATATAAGCTGGCTCTGTGAGCCCAGTAGTCTGAAGAGAGAAGCAACAAAACAGGTGGAGGATTTTGAAGAAAAGAGAGGACAGGTAGAAAAGGGAGGTGCAGAGGAGGAGAAGGAGTGGCAGAAGAGGGTGGGGAGGAATCCCAGAAATGTGTTTGGCCCCGAGGCTCCTGTCGCCACCGGGGCGAGAGCCACAGAGAAGCTTATACGAGCTTCTCTGTGGCCCAAAGGTGCTGGGGCAGGGCCACCAAACCTGCTGCAGGTGGAGAGAACCAGGAAGAATTATTAGAGTAATTATCAATGGATAGGATTAAGAGGTCTAAGACTGCTCCGATGATTACAAAAAAATAATTGGACGTCACACAGAAACACGTTTGTGTCTTTCTTTTAAATTGTATCCATTAAAATAATATGACAAACGTTCCGACACCTTTCCCCACAGGTTTACATCGGCATTAACTCCCTAAGCACCGACTTTTCGTCCCAGAAGGGGGTTAAAGGCCTTCCTCTGAACCTGCAGATTGACACGTACGACTTCAGCTCGGGAACCAACCAGCTCCTACACAGAGCCGCCTGCCAGGTCAAGATCTTCTGCGATAAGGTACGTGACTTGTGTCATTCCCTTGCAAAATGGCCTTGCTTGCACAAAAAAAATCTTTTTTGTGTAGTCAAAGTCCTTACGTTAACCATGTGATTGTGGGTCCTCAGGGTGCTGAGAGGAAAATGCGTGATGAGGAGAGGAAGAGGAGCAAAAGGAGGACGAAGCCCGATGCTAACGGTGAGTTTTGCCGATAGAAATGTATCTACGTCTTGAAGATATTCCCTCCGTTTCCAAGCGTGTATTCTAACTTCTGCTTTTGTCTCCAGCCAACAAGTCTTCAGTGAGCAGCGACTGTACCTTCTTCCAAACCCTGGATGATCACATCACCCAGCCAGTTCTGTTTATCCCAGAAACACACCTCTCCAGCTTACAGCGCATGGTAGGTCCCCCATTATCCTCTCCCTTTTTTTTCCTAGTGTTGAGTGAGTCATGTTACCGACCACTGTATCCCTGTAGGCAGTAGCACGGGTACGTGAGAGGCAGGGAAAGAACTGTGGGAAAGTATGCAGGGGGGGAAAGAGAGGCTGGGAATGGTGTCAGCGAAAGTGAGGGTAAAAACACAGACTTGGGATCAGATGAGCTAATTGGAGTCGAAACCAGACACAAGTGCCGACACTGCGATTAAGCATGGGGGCTTACGCACAAAAGCACTCACACACGCACACCTGATGCAACAGCTCGCTGACACCTGACATGCAGTGTGCACCACCCTCATATTCTCTGGAGGGTTTTTTTTTTCACACACAATTGCAAAAACAGTGAGTTGAGAGTGTGCTGTTCAGACAGGTCAGTCTACTCACACCGTGGAGTCAATAGCGTGTGTTTTTACAGCGTTGTAAAGGGGGGAAAACAAGGGATTTCATTTAGATACAACTCTCTTAATTGACTGTGAGGGAGACGGTTTGAAAGGAAGACCTGCGATTGCATAACAACGCGGTGACATGACGCCTGATGCATGTGTGTGGCGTGAAAGGCCGTAAACGTCTTTGATTGACGGGGACGATAAAGCGAAGGATGGTCCTATCAGTGTCTCTCCATCAGGGTCCACGCTTATGGAGTTTAGAGGCTAAAGTAATGATAACATTCTTCTACGGCAGTGTTACGCAAAGATAATGAATGGGAAGGTGAATTCAAGCAATGCTTTTATCAGTGTGTGAGTGGTGTCTAATCAGATCTCTGCTCTGCTGTCTTTTTTTTTTTACCTTTGTCTTTCTAGGCTCCTCCCATGGACGACAATGAAAGGTGAGCTTACAAAAGACACGGCGACATTAACAGCTTTACATCGCAACCATTTCTGTCCGAACAAACACACAGCGGCTGTTTTAGTCTAACGTGAACGTCTGCTGTGTTTTCCCAGGAGTTCTTTGAAGAGATTATATCCAGACAGAGAACAAATGAGCTCTCCACCTAGCAAACAGGGCCGCAGAGAAGACCCACAAAGAGGTACATGGGACTAAACGTCAAATACAAAAAAGAAGATGCAATCTAGAATGAGCCGAATTGGTCGTATTTATTAATGCTAAATGTTTAAATTCCTTCTCTCAATTTCGAATAGTTCTGCTGTATGTGAGGACGCACACCGACGAGGCTTTCGATGCGCTCATGCTCAGAACGCCAACACTGTCGGGCCTACGGGAAGCTGTAAGTCACAAATCCTCAAAAGTGTCGGAAATCATTTTACAACATGCTCGGATATGTTAGCGTACGTACGTTGTCTTCAGCTGGAGATCTTGCTAACTCTCACATTCCTTTCCTTACTAAGGTTTCAGAAAAGTACGGTATCCAGCTAGAGACCATTGGCAAAATCTACAAAAAGTGCAAGAGAGGGTAAGTTTCTTATTCATATTCTTCTTTCTTCGGTGTGTTTAAGTCGGTTTAAAGTAGTGCAATTGACACAGACATGGTGCATGAATATAGGCCTCAGTTTGTGGTTTCAATCTCATTCTCCTTTAAGGAAGCTCATGTCGACAGACCGGGTAGGTAGGTTATTTGGCTCGGCCTCCTGGAATGTGTTAATTGTAGCTTCTCCAAAAGAAAGACGGATGAGGTTGACTGAAAAGATTTCAATAGTCATGTTGATGAGTCATCGCCATTTGATCTCTTCGTGTTTTCATAACTTAAACGGATCATCGGGAAGTACTGCGCTGTTGAAAGACCTATAAAGCTATAGGTTTCAAGTTATTAGCTGAAGGTTGTCCATCGAGTTCTGATCTTCTTTTAAACTGTCACACGTCACATTTCTATTCACTGAATTTTTAAACGGGTCACATAGATTTACAAGCGTCGCCTTTCGCCGTCGCTGATTTTCAGTCCTTTTGGATTCAAGGATAAAAAGATTTAAATGTGTTTGATTTAGAGTTACTTAAAAAAAAGTAGCACTTGAGTGGTAATGAAGTCGTCTTCTCTTCCTGACGGATTATTCCCTCAGATCTTCTTGTAAAGTTATTAAAATGATTGCCGCCACACCACAGCAGAATTTCGAAAGAATGAATCGACTTTAACTGGCACATTGGACCCCTGTCAAACTGACAATGGTCTGAGCCAACAAAGGAGATCAGAAGGCTTTTCTTGAAATGTAAATAAGTAGTTCTGACAGCCCTGTTTCTTGCTTTTGCTGGCATCCGTCACTGCTCCGGGGAGCAGCTAAGCTAACAGGTTGGGTTGCATTCTCGCTGCTGTTCCTTCCCTCCTCTTTCACTCTGGTCTTCAATCAACCCTGTCGCTGCAGGCACAATGCACATTAAATGTTAGGTAGAGAAGGACTAGATTGACCTAATTTAATATCTTCATATAAATTTAATATCGTCTCCTTTCCAGGATTTTCATCAACATGGACGACAACATCATCGAACATTACACCAACCAGTCGGCCTTCCTCATTGAGATGTCCGAGCTCGTCAACGGGCAGTTCCAGGTCACCCTCATTGAAGTATGAGAGCGAGCGTCCAATCAGCCGCCTGCTCCATTGAAGAATGTAACTACTCCCAGCTGGCAGTTTGGACCATCTCTTATAGCACTGCTCAGTCAAAGACAATGTAAGCTTTAGACTGCCGAAACCAATGAGAGAAGCTGAAGAGAGAACGCGTTTGTACAGCTTTCTGCCGGTGATGTAGATACTCCACGACTTTGTTATTTGAATTGTAACTCAACAGCAATTATGATGAACAACCTGTACATAGATCATGTAAATAGAACTTAATATGAAAGTGTTTTATGAACTAGCCATGTGTGTGTGTGTCGAAATCCATTTTCCACATATTTCTATGTATTTCAATTTTTTTTTTACAGAGCTCTGCATAAGTTTTGTGTACAATCCATTTTTAGCATTTTCAGAGGTTCCTATTCTTGTTGCTTTTAATGTATCCGTCATTTATTCTAAAAAGGGCCTATGTTGCGTTTCCTCACCCACGGCCTACTTTTGATGTTTTTTCACTGCCATGGAGTATCTTCCTGCAGGATCCTGTTAGTTTCACCACTAACCCCAATGGTTTCATTCAGAACCTAAAGTCAGACATTTCCACCCGTAAAACCACACAATAGTTAGTATTGGCCATAACTTAGCTTAGAGTTGTGGACATTTCCTTCCACTACAGTGTAACCACAGAGTTAAAAAACAGTTCAAACCCGTCAGTCCCTGAGGCCCGCCAAAGGATTTTCATTTTATGCGTGTGTGTGTGTGTGTGAGTGTGTAAAAAGTTGTAGAATTATTTTTCCCTTTTTACGTTACGCATCATTTCAAAACAAGCATGTATCCCTGTAAGATTTCATTATTATATCATGGCAATTCTAGTTGTATTAGTCCCATCATGCCTTTTTTCTAACAAAATAAAGAAAATGCATAATACATTTTGTGTCTGTCTCTAAATTCTCCATAGAGATCTGATTGAAAAGCGGGACCATGCACAGCACAATCAACTATTACTGGTGTGTGTCTGCACAATTCGATTGTATTTACTTGTATTTTAGAAACAGCTAATTGCTTTGTCAGCTCTCTACAGTTAAAAAAAAACCCTTAATTCCCTCTGCACAGGAGGGTTTTGGTCTTATGTTTTGCATCTGTATGACTCATAGTGTGTGCACGTTCAATGAGTGCTGGGGGGGTCATATGTAGATCGAAACAATTAAAACACCAAAAATTAAAATTCCGTTCCTAGTATTTCAAGCTGCCCTTTGCGACCCATCCGGGCTGCACACGTGCGTTGAAGAAAAGCTTCCCCTATTAGAGGACACTGACAGCACAGAGTCAATCCTTTTCCCAGTTGCAACACAGACATCCTTCAGCAAGTAAAAGACAGACGCGCGCACACACTGACACACACAGTGTGAGGCAGAGAGGCAGAGAGGCAGACGGCCGGTGCACGCAGACAAAAACAGGCGCAGAACACCAGGACAAACAGAGGCAGAGACGGACGGGGAGACTGCTGAAGCGAGGACAAAACCAGGGAAGGACGACGGAGCAAGAGTAACAAAGAGGTGGCTGCTACGTCCCCCCCCCCCCGCTGGGAGAGAGAAACATGTTCACCATTCAGATGAGAGCACGGAGGCAGCCAGAGATCTGCAGTGAGGAACCAACAATCCTCCCTGAATGGTAAGCAACTGAGACTATGTGGACTGCGGGTGTGTGTTTGCATCTGCGAGAAATGTGGCAGCATGAGAGAATGTGTTTGGGCTATTAATAACCGCACAGTGTATCCATCCTTTTCAATTCATCATACATCTCTCTGATGTTGTGCCTCTCAGCCGATGTTCCCATAGCACACCCCGCTCTGCCATCTCATTGCATCTGAATGCGGCATCTGGTGAAGTTTCTGTCTTCAAGTGAACATTGAAAAATTAACACAAATTCTGCGTATTGAAAGCAGACCTGTAACCGAGACAGTGGATGCCCTGAGAGCTGGGTTAGATCTCAGATCCTCATACGTGCCACCGTCTCACTCTCCTCCCAAAGTAAAAACATTGTGTTAGCGCCACAGGAAATAACGCCTAGTTTCATATCATAAGTTAACACACACTGTTGATTCTAGACAAAGATGACGACATTACAATGTATTTATGAAATTACACTCTACTCACAGATTTACACAACATCCAGACAAACATACATTCGCATGGCACATCTCCATTCCATTTACTATTCTAGTGTGTTGTGGTATTTATTGTATTGTGTTGTGTATTCCATTCATGTTCATTCTGGCATTGTTCAGTACATCGTTTCTATCTATTTTTGATAATCCTGGCGGATATCCAGTCAGATTTTATAAAAATTGCAGAATTGCAAAAAATGCAGAGTAATTAAATCTCACCATACTGAACCAAAACAATTGGCTTGAAAATGTATTTTCCACCACCATCCATACACACGTGTTGCCAGATCACCGGTGAGAAAAATGAGCTATGAATGACAATATATATATATATATGTGACTGGCAAATGCTACATTTTAGGATTAAATCAATAAAAAAACAGGAAACTGTGAAACAGCAAAACAAACAACAAACAAAGCAACTTCTTATCTGAGACATCATCTTGTTATTGCTTTTGTGTGTTTCTTTGACGGAGTTTACTGATAATGATTGCTTGTGTTTGTTTGTTTTTCCTTCGTCCCAGAGGGCATTCTTCCCTCCTCCAGACCGAGACAGTGTAGATGGACTCAATCTGCATTCAGACGCTGGTCTGACGCAATGAGAGACATGACGGATTTCTTGCAAGGTCATTGCTCACCATCAATTGTACGCTTTGAGAGAACAACAACGCACACACTCACACACACACACACACGCACACACTTGTACGCATGAAGTCAATTATGCCTGTATTGGTTACAAGCCAGTACTTGAGCGGATCAGGACTTGTACAGAGAGGAATCCCACTAGGTTTTATGAGAAATAAAGAAATAAACACACACTGTCACGTTGAAACTGGGCAGGTTATTGTATCCTAGCAACAGGGAAAGACATCGACCGCTCAATCGGTTCCTGTCCAGCACCGGAGCCGTGAAGCCAAACCTCCCTCTGCTCCCGTGTTGTGGAGCGCTCGGCTACACTTCACACCTCTTTTGTTTTCATCTCAGTCACGATGACGAATCGGCAGCTAAAAGACGTTTGACAAAGAGGTAATGGATACATTTCTATTTTGAACTTATGTTGAACTGAACTTGATTCTGTGCAAACATTTTTTTTTTTCTCAACAGATCCGCACTGTTCTGGCGGGACCCGAGACACGGACAAATCATACTGACAAGCAGCATCAAACGTTTCCTTTCTTCTGTGCGGCTGGTCTCTTTACTTATACGTCTTGAAAGCCTTGGAGTAGAATCCTAGTTTCACCCCTCACAATGCACACTCCAGCCTCCATGGTGACGGGGATCGTCTTCGCCCCTCTGGGATTGGTCCTCGTCTTCACTGCCGCCATCACCCCTCAGTGGAGAGAGGGACAGGCGCGGCTGGGCGCGTCGGGCCCGGGGTCACCTCTTCGATCGGGGGCAAAAGGTCAGGGGAAAGGGGGCGCTAGGCCCGCGTCGGCGGGGGCGCTGCTACTGCTGCGCTCTGATGGGCTTTGGGAGAGCTGCCTGCAGGTGGAGAACTCAGAGCTGAAGCAGTGCTGGCCTGTGGCGGGGTCGTATCGGAGAGACCCCAGGGTCCGCCTGGCACAGGGTTTCATCCTCACCTCGCTGTTCCTGTGCGGCACCGGCATTATGCTGGCGTGTATTGGCGTCCGGTGCTGGACAGACACCCCTCTGAGAGGCGTGGCAGCCACGGGGGGGCTCCTGGTGGTGATCGCCGGGCTGCTGAGCCTGACTGCGCTCTCCGTGTACACCCACAACCTCCCGAGACTGGGGATGGCGGATCCGAGCAAGGCGATCAAAAGCGCCAGGTTCCCGCGCCTCAGCCTGCATCCCGCCGGCTCGCTCTACTTCGGGTGGCTGGGTTCATGCTTGCAGATGCTGGGCGGCAGCGCTCTGCTGTTCAGCTTCAAGCGACCCGCGTACCCAGATTGCCCGTCGTGCCTGAAGCTACGGGTTTGCCCCGCATGCCGTCCATGTCCCGAGATCCCCAACAGGCCGGACAACGATGTATATGAGGTCAGCTGTTAGAATGTAGAACTAAAAAAATACCTTCAAGGTCAAAGTCAGCATTTTATTATGTGGATCCAATCGGCGTTGATTGTAAATGTGGCCGATTAAAGCTATAAATGTATCATCCTTTAACATCATTCATCGTGATTCTCTTATCTCATAGATCCTATTCACTTTGGGAGGCCATTTTGGCTTTTTACACTAAACGCATAGAAAACAAAGTTCTGTTTTTGAGCAGCATCTAAAGCACAAGAGGAATCCAAACTGCTGTATAGTTCTCCCTGGCCACTTCGCCACACGCTGGATGCAGATAGAACAATAGATTTTGCAGCCACAAATTGAGGTTTCTCGATCAATAGCAGACGCCGAGGAGTTTATTGCTCCGATCGACTCCATTTGCAATCGGCAATGATTGGACATCCACATAAAACCATGTGAATCTACTTTTAAAACATGGGCAAATAAGAGAAGATCTGGAAAGGCACTAAAGTCCCTCTCAACTCATCAGCTGATTAATCTGCCCGCAGAGTAAATGAGTCAATTCATCAATGATTGCAAACCACAGGACATTACTACTTCTTGTTTAACGGACTTGATGCTTGTACAGCGATTAGATGTTGACGTAGACGAGCCTTTGGTTGGGTGTAAAGTTCAAATCAAAGAGAGAGGGAATCAAAGCGTAAATGGATTGAAGAGAGAGGTTCATTATGGTTGAAAAAAGTCCAAGTTCCCGCTGCCTTTAACTACGACATGTAGCGAAACATGACTGTCGTATCTCTTTGTGCTGCCTTTTACATCGTAGCCGTGCCTTTGTACTGTTCACTGTGTCTGTGTCCGAGAAAAACTGTGAAATGTGAAATATTTGTGATAAATATATAAGTTGCTTAGATAATGTTATGGCTTTGAATAAGATTATTGAACGAGCTTGTGTTGGATCCGGTTACAGATCACAGTCATTAAACTGGATTTGATCTCCTTGGTTTTACATTTGTAGAAATCTCGTTCTTGCAAATGTGGTTTGGAGGTTTGGAGAGAACAATCTTGGATTAATTTTTCATTAATTGCAATCTTTTATAATTTTCTCAATGCAGTCGCTAGAGATAATTAAAAAGACCAATTCTAGAAGTAATATAAGTGTAAGAACATTACAAATCATCCACCAATTTTTCAGCCTGCAGGAAAATTCATCCAATAAATAATATTCCTAATGTAATAACCAGAGTAGTGAAGAGACGTAAAGTATTAGAGGAGTGTTCAAAGGGGTGTTGTTTGTTCTTTATCAAATATTTGTTGGTGTTAACTTATCACAGTGTTGTATTCTGTATTAAATAAAGCATTTCAGCAATGTATCCCTGTGTGCTGCAGCCATGCTGCTGTTGCTTTTTGCCATTGAGAGGAAAGATTATTCTAGCTTTAAATAAAAAGTCCCTCTCTCTGTGAACAAGGTCACTTCAGTGAATTAGCAAGAAAGAGCCAAACCAGGTTCTGGGGAAAAGTTATTTTGGCCAACAACGTCGTTCAAAGAGTGAGAGTCAGAGAAACCAATCTGGATACTGGTAACTTTTTTTGGCAAATGTTAACATTAAATGTTAATTAAAAAAATAAGCTTGTCCTGTAGCTTAGGTGCCTGTTTTTGTCAGACCTTGATTTGAGTCCACCTGCAGTAAATTGAACTAATTGGATGTGCATTGGAAGGGTACACGCCTATCGATATAAGGTTTTTACAGCTAACAAGGCATAGCAGAGGAAAAAGGTAGAAGGAAATGTGTGCAGACCTCAGAAGCAGCAGCAGGGTGGTGTTGAGGGGGAAGACAAAACATTATAATTAAGGCACAGGAAAGTGTTCCATGTGTTACTCTTTCTATCTTTTAAAAAAAAAAACGTATTCTGCTTTGTATTTATGAGGTAGTTGGTGTAGATTTAATAAGGGAAAACTAATTCAAACTATTTTAGCTGAAGGCTACAAAACAAAATGGGGAAAAGGGGAAAGCTGTAAAAAAGCATTGACCTCGTATTAATATTTCATTATGATTTCATTAACTGTTTGGACTGCGCGCGGAAACTAATTTGAAAGCAGCGAGCATGACCTGGTGATCAAAAACAGCAGCGACACAATCTCCACATGATCTATTCACTGGAATTGACCAAATATGTTGCCCGGGGTTCACGCACAAAGAGCAAGAAACACAATAAATATGTGCACTAAAGTAAGGCATTTATAATCTTTTGTCTCTTCCAAATCCTCTACACATGCGACAGTATTTCTAAAGCAAATTTTCTGCAAAATATTTCAAATGTTTGCCTTTTATTAAGGCAACGTCAATAATCAAATACATACAGGATTTATAGTAGAACTGTATTTACAAATCACAGTACACAAGGCATGACTTATATTAACATTCTCATTTAATCCTAAGAGAAGTTCTTTTTGCCGTCATCAGAAGAACCAGACGGCCTTAGAATATTATAAATACATACTGGGATTTACACTTGGCATATTGTTCTCTTCTCTTGTAGACTAGTAGTATTTGGTTGTCTAGTCCTAAATCTGCACTCAATGGTTTTCACAGACAACAGGGGACTCAGTGAATTGAAGCTCTGTCCACTGGTTGCATGAAAAAAGTCTTCCACGTCACCGATTCCAGTAAAAAAAACAACTTTTTAGTGACTTTTCCATCGTCAGATGTAGAAGTAGTTCTCTGCGGGTTCGCCGCTCTCCAGCATTTCAGTCAGCTGTTTGTTTATTGAGTCCTGCAGCGATCCCAGGGAGAGTTCCAACTGTGGACTGGCGCTCGGTGAACCCGGTGGGATCTCCAGGAGGACGTCAGACGGCTCTGCGTCCACCAACTGCTCCCCGTCGCTGAGGCTCAGTCTGTATGCACCTTCGAACTCTCCGGCGGGTGTTTCCTTGACGACGGTTTCCAAGGCAACCGCCTCCGTGGGAGGGTCCTGCAAAGCCGTGCCGTCCGCCTCTTTGGCGGCCTCGAGTGCGTAGGTTCTCTCGATTTCCTGAAGTAGCTCCTCGTTCTGCTCCTTCCACTGGCGGTAAGTCGAGGCTGAGAGATTAGAGTCCTCTAGAAGCTTGTTGATCTGCAGCAATTCCGCCTCTTTGGCCTGTAGCGTGAAAAGGTTTGTGTCAGAGAGAATGCGTTTGTTTGTTCAGATATGATACTTATTGATTCGGAGTGTCAGAGAACCAAAAAACTTGTTGTTCAAGTTTATTTATTTCCCTTAAAAGAAAAGAAACCACAATTCAGACTGAGGGATTGCTAACTGGCCGACGCTATATAAACGTGGTTTATTGAAGTCGGCAGAGTGTTTAACCTAAAGGATATTCAGGCCCACGGGCCACAGGACTTTCACCCTCACCTTCAGGGTGCTCTGCTTGGTTCGGAGCGTGTGCACCTTCTCATTGATGATGGGGTTCTTGTTGCGTCGAATGAACGATTTCCTGAAGTGGTCGTGTGTGAATGGCTGCTCTTGTCCGATCAGAGAGACTCCTCCTTCCTTAATGTTGTTTAGCATCATGCCCATCTCATCCACTGGTCCTGCTTCTCCCAGGGAGGAAGACACAGGGTAGTGCAAATAAGGAAAAAATCATTTTCATTTAATTAAAAAAAACAAGCTGTGGGGTTTGGTTGAAAATAACTCGTGGACAGTTGATTGGGTTAAATATCCGCTGGGAAACAACATGTCAAGATGAAAACACGTTTACCTCTCACATATTTGATGTTTTATTATAAACTTCTATCAGGGGGATACAGTCTTCACAGATTAAAGTAATGAATCATCGAGAGGGAAATTTAGAAAACAGCACGAGGCAGTTATTCAACGCTTACCTGATCCTTTGCTGCCCCCTGTCACCAGACTCGATACTGACGCGGCCGTCTTCCCCTTGGGGCGCGGCAGCGTGTGGGACTGCACTTTCTGAGGCGCGTAATAAAACAGGAAATGACCTCAAGGCGACTCTAACACGGTGGCGTTTTGTGTTTATGAAAGTGTAAACCTCTTACTGAAGCCACCTTGTTTCTTCTGCGGGGTGAAGGCGATGTCTCGCTTTCTGATTCAGTCTCACTGTAACATTCTGTTAGTAAAAAGGTGTTGAATTAAAAATTTCACCCGTAACACATCACATCACAGTTAATAAACAATATTTGGTGGGCAGATCAGAACTTTCTTGATTGTTTCTAACTGGCTGGCTGAACTAAAATCACTAGGAACAGTTATTATGCTTCTGGCTGTATTGCCAGTTAACTCTGCCTGGTGAAAATATCATAGCCAGAAGCTGATGATGGCCACAGTATGACTGAGGTTAGCTGATGTTGAACAATGGATGAGGAGATTACTTTGGTTGTGGCACCGGGACACCTTGTTTACTACTAAATACTTTTTACAGTAAGTGTATAACTTTAAGGGATCAGAAATACAGGAGGTTGTTTGCCTACCTTCTTCACTATCTGGGCCTGTGTTGAACTTCTTATGTTTCTGTATGGCCGTGATCAGACAGTTAATCCACCTGGCAAAAGAAAGATAACAAGCTAAATCAACACAGACAAAGCAAATACTATTATTATCTTAGTCACGTTCAGGATTGGGATTTGAATTAGAAAGTAGACGACAAACAAGTCCTAAAACCTTATCATACCTTATTATTCCTCTTTCAGTTATTGTTGATTCTTACTCTTTTTTTCTCACTTATTATTTATAATACTAGTTCTTATGTCTGTTTGCACTTTGACCTTTGCAGCTGTAATCTTTGTAATCTGTCCCCGCTGCAGGACTAATAAAGTATTATTTAATCTTGAATTCCCATTGATTTTAACAGCACAGGAGCAGGATCCTGAACAATGAACTGTAGAGGGCAGTGCAGACCAGCACCTGTTAGAGTATGATTTAGCACCTTTAACTGCAGAAAGAATGAAATACATGATATATTGTAGCTGAAGGACCTAGTCTACCATTATATGCATTTCTAAGATGGTTATTTATTTAGGAATGTGGCACTGAAAGCTGAACCTACTAAACCCATCATTTGTAGGTTGTGGGAAAAGAGAAAGGCAGATAATGAATACAGGCAGACCGAGGCCTTACTTCTTCATAAATCCGACTTACTTGCTCATGTCGGTGACATTATCAGCTGCAAAGAAGAAGTTGTGAAATCGCTGGTGGCACATTTTAAATACGCTTTTAGGGAGAGAGAGAACAAAGAGAGATGGAGGAACAAAACATGAAGGTTCTACTTACAGTGAAATGAAAACACACTGACATAATAATAAATAATAAATTCTACTTTTCCATCTCCTTTCTTTCAGATATGTTGTCTGAGCTAACCAATAGAACAAACTATAGATCCTAACATATTCCAGGCTGAAATGTTAAAAAGCCTGTTGTGTGATCCATCATTAAGTTCATACTTACTATTTTCTCTTGTGCTCTCCAGCACTCTCTATGCTGTAGCTGGATATATTGGCAAAACCCTCTGCCTTCTCATCCTGTATAAAGAAACAATTCAATAAAGTTATACATAAGACCGGAAGAAAAGGTTTACTAAACGTCAATACAGTACTAAAACAATACTATTATAATAACCTATGAGGCTGTGTGGCACTACCTCATTTATTTGGTAGTAGAGAGATGAACTACTCTCATAGTGTTATTCCCACCTGTTGGCTGGTGTACCAATAAAGGGAAGGCCCCTTGAGGACAAACCAGAAGCGCTGCCACTTCTGGGCGATGAAGTGGCTCTCCTTCCTCTTCTTCCACAGCCAGCCGTCGCAGTCGGGTTGACCGAGCTCGCGGCAGGACACCCGGCGCCGGCTCATGGCGGTCGACATTCCTGGGAGGATGCAAAAAGACGAGAAGAAGAAAAGCAAAGATCACCAGAAACATTTTCCTTTCCAAATCCTTATTAGTTTCCTCTGTTTTCATGACGGTGCATTAATGTAGAATTACACCATGAACGTTTACCTTTTGTAGTACTCCTCTTTGTTTCCTTATTGCCCTGAAAAGATAAGCCGATGATCAGTTTTACTGATTGTGTGTATCACAATTCAGATGTGCAAATGTGAACACTCACTCAAATGTAGATTCAAATAGCATCAACATTTGACTGTAAAATGTTGATGGAAAAGGCTCTTTTCCTCTCACCGTGTGTCCCACCATTTCAGGGCAGGAGCTGATGCTGGCTGTTTCCTGCTCGAGTCCCTGAGGTGAGGGACTTCTCAATGAGCCAAATGTAAAGGGAGAAGGACTTCTGGGTGACGAAGAGCGGTCCCGTCTTAGTCCTGGGGAGAGCCTCGAGCTTTCCAAACTCTGTAACCCCGCTGTGAACGTCCACGTCATAATATGTCACAGTATGACTATTTAAAACAGCATCCCAACGCACATTGAATTTGTGTCAGCAGCCAATGATCTACGTCAAACGACATCCCTGTATCTAGGCAACACATCTCATTGATGCGCACGGTAGAAGTGCTAGTAAATCCATTACAAATCCATCCTTTTAACAATGTCACACTCTGTAACAAACATAACCGATCACAGTCTGCGCTGCACACAGATCTCGGGGTGTTATGTGTACTTCAAATTGCTTTACTGCTGCACAAGTAATTGAAGAATTTTAAATGAAAATATTCAGGTAGTGTATGATGGATTTGATATATTCTAAGGCCTTAAGTTCTTCTTTCATATTTCTCCATACTAAATCCAGATGTTCTCCCTGCGCGCTGCTTACCCGAGGCTGCCGTTGGGGACAGCCCCCCCTGTTGGCCGTGATATGAAGTCGATCTCCCCACCACTTGCCGGTCAGAAAAGAACTCTTCCTGTCCCATAGGCTGCTGGTGTATCTCTGGACCGTGTACGGCTTTCCTGCAGCGACGAAAAACACATTGAAACCAACGACAACACCAATCAAAAAACAACTCACGAGCGGTGCGTTCTGGTGCTTTAAAAAAAAAAAGACGCCTGGCGGGGTATGAGGTGAAAATGATCTGAATTGACTTTTAAAGAGGTGAAATATGACAGTAGTCTAAAGTTTCTTTCCTAAAACTGGATGTGACGGAGATATTTACGACCTCAATGCACCAACTCCGCCTACTCCCTCCATTCGTCAGAACACGGCTGCGACCCATCAGCTCACACCGTCTGCTTTTGCGTCTCCATCACTCTTTCTCCTCCCTTCTATCATTTTTTGTTTATCACACTCCCCCTCGTTGGAGTCTTTCTTCATCTCTCCCTGAACCTCACTCATTTATTCATGTTTTTTCTCGTCTCTTCCACTTCTCTCATTTCCAGTCAGCCGTGCGTTGTTGAAGTTGGAATTTATGGCGTTAGCAGGGTGAACTCATCACAAACACACCGGGTCCTGGCACATTCACGAGGTCAAAAGGGTTTGTGGGAGGCCTGCCCTATTGAGTAAATCTTTGCCTGTAAAGTGAGCCAACCTGCTCTGAGATGCAAAGTAATCCCACCTTTGAACTGACCTTCTTTTCATTAGTCATGTTGCAAAAATGTAGAGAATTGCGTTCAAGTCTGAACCAAAGCTTTTCAGGTTGCTGGTCAACTAAAGTTACTATACATGCTAAATACATTTCTTTATCAAACATTTTAGATTTAAAATCGACTATTTATTACATCCGGGGTGCCCAAAACAGTGCCCAAAAGCGTCCGGTCGCCTACAAGGAGCTACAGACCTTTTAAAATTGCCCAATTTAACAGCACTTGCTTGATCAAAGCGCCTTTTTTCCCGGAGGCCCGATGCATTAGAAGCTCAGCGTCTATTTTGGGCTGAACTTCCAACTTTGGGTAAGCTGCGCAGGCACAAGCGAGACATTTAATCATGTTGGATTAGGGGCAGGAAAAATACATTAGGGTAGCGAGGGGCATTTAGCAAAAAAGCTAATTTATGCTCTGAGAGTGACTGCTTAGTTGTACTCTCACCTGAAAGACAGGGACCTGACCGACGCTGCTACCCTGTCAAATATGGAGTGCCTCGGATTCTCCTCGTCCTCTTCCTCCTCTGACCGCTCTTCTTCCTCCGTCTGAAAAGAAATCAGCGGTAACACAAGAGGGGTCGTGCACACTGAACTGTGCGTGTAGTTGTGGGTGACAGCGGGGAAACGAGGCGGATGTCATGTGGATTGTGATAGCAGCTTTTTCCTCAGGTCTCCATCCACTCACTCTGCACAAACAACACACACACACACACACACAGTGCGCTAAAGTCTTGCTAAGCGAAGGGCATCGAGAAAGGGCAATAAGGAGCTGATTCCAATCTCCTCATGTGTTTCCTCACCCTGCGGCTGCATCGAGATTAACATGGCAGTCACAAGGGGGTGTGAAATGCTCAATGTGCGTGTGTGTGTGCTCGTCTCACACTTGGTTTGTAATTCATTGTGTAGTTCAGAGAAGAACAACAGTCGCCATAGTGACTACTAAGAGTGAGCGTTTATGGAAACGGATCCCGAGGGAGTTTTTAAACAGAACTCGAGGAGGGGATTCTTGTGGAAGGAAAGCCGTAGGTTGCCTCGACATAAACTGTGTAAGCAATCCAGCTTCTGAAATTTGACTTGGTGTTTCCACCCTGGGTGTAATTATCCAAAACTAAAACTACACGCTAGAACATACGGTGTGTGTGCGTGTAACAATAACGCTATCGGCGGGGAATCTCTTCTAATGGCCACCGTTTTAGTAGGAGTTACAAGACGAATGTCAGACCTGACAAATGTTTGAGTCTCAGAGTGAGTCACTGTGCGTATTCTCCTAATCTTCTGTCAGAATGGGGCCGTGGAGATATTGCGTGTGACACATGGATGATGTAATAATTCAAACTGTTGATTCAATATCCAGATACGATAAAGTGGAAATAACACATTCTCAACGTCTTCTCTGGAAATTCATTTTGAATACATCGTCCTCTGAGGATCATTCATACGTCAAAACCAAAGTTCCTGTGTTGTACTACAAATGAAAAGTGTTTCTTTTGTAAATCAGAAAGGTAAATAGAGTGTATGATGAGGAAAGTGATCCCTGACCTGTGTGGAGGAGAGCCGGACTGTGTTTCTGCGTCGCTCCAACCCAGGAATCTTCTTCAGGACCAGAGTCACTCCGCTGGGATTCTCCCGAAGCTTCTTCACAAGATTAGCTCTGCTCCAGCCCACCTGGTGCAGAGAAACAGGGGATTATTCCACTGTGAAGGTGATCGTTTCGGACACAGAAACCCTTTGAAGGAACGGTGAGCGTACGGACGTTTGTCCTGAGGCCGTGTGGACCACGCAAACACGGGAGCTTTGCGACATGTACGCAGGGGTTGTCTGCACTTACTGTTCGTAATGTAACACTCACCACTATCTGGTCGTTTACTTGAACCACTTCATCCCCAGCTAAGATTTTCAAGAAGGCCTCCGATGAAGGCTGAAGACGGAGAGACGAACCAAAGAATATGGACATGCAGTTTAACATTTCAAAGGGCATTTCCACTTCGTCCTGAGTCATGGTTTGTAATCTGTTATACTCCGGCGGGTCAGAAATGTTTTTAACAATACAGGACTGGTTTAGCAATGATTGAGCTGTGCCAACAGGGAAACAGAATGAGAGAGACGGACCTCAACAGCGGTTCCAGTCACAAAGTGGTTACTGGAGCCAGTAGATGATATTTCGATACCCTAAGAGAGAGGGAAAAAGAGAGAGGCGTGAAATAGGAGAGATAGAATACTGGCAACATCATGGAGGCATGTTGTTACTGTCATCGCCGATGGAGTCTGTGGAGATATTGATCTCCGCCTCCAGATGTATTGATGTTTCAGCCGGTAATTAACCCTCAGCCGGCTTTGATCCACTGATTATTTGGAATCAAAGTTGCCGTGGGGACACGAGCCAACTAATCCCACCCCAGAAAGCCCAGATGACATAATCAATAAGTAGCAACAGAAACCTGAAGGTATTCAAAATTTGAACTGGAAAGGGCAGCGACTAAGAAATCGTTTCCTCATAAATGAAGCTTTTTGAGATTTACTGGCTCGTTATTGTGTCCACCTGTTCCTTTTTGACTGGAATAGATTTAAATTTAGGGAAAATTTAAGGGGGGAAAATAAAGCTTTCACTTTGAGGAGTATTCGAGAAATCAAGCAAATGTACATGATGTACTTCTCTTTCTTTACTTCCCATTTCAGTCATTCGGAGGAAAGACTGCTTTACCTCTGATGTGCGGCAATCAATTTATATCTGTAGCCACCTAGAGACACACGCAAATATGTGTCCATGGCGACAACAAAACGTTTGCCTAACAACTACAGCACCCGAGGTGATGCGGATGATTTAGAAAATCCGCCTTTGAGACACAGTGGAGATGATTAGGAAGACCGCTCAAGAGAGTGGGTGAGCACATGGAGACTGGACTGCAATTATCATTTAATATGTGATAATTTCCCTAACGGGCTGAGTATAGAACGGAGAAGGAAAGATGAGAAGTATACAACAGTTAAAGAAGGTATGCAGTATGAATAAATTGTTGCATCATTTGTACCGACTGAAGGATGTAAAAGAAAATAAGAGGTTGCTTTTGAGAGAATAATAATAAGAGAACTGGGTGTAAGGAGAACCTTCAGTGAATTGGAAGAGGTGGTGAGTTGCACCCAATGATGATGGGAAACTGCAGGCAGTGATGAAAGCAGAAAAAGGAATACTGAAAATGATAGTGAGAAGAAATAAGAGGTTAAAGGTGTTAATTTAAAAGAAAGCTGGGGAAGCAATAAAATAGTAAGTTGATTTTTAAGATGATTAATAACATACAGATGATGTGCGGAGGAGATGACAAAAAACTAAACAAGCAAAAGCAAAAGGAGTTTAAAAATCGATAAAATGAGCCACACTGAAATTTTCTAAAACTAAATTATTATATATAATATAATAAAGAAAAAACAAATGGTCACAATTTATTAAACATTACGTGAAATTGGTCTAAACTCCGACACAATAATATAGCTTTCCTTTGTTGTGCATTTAACGACAAAGAGTTCCAAAGAGTAAGTGGGTCTTACCAGCTGATCCCCGGGTGACACCGGCACCAGGTCCACTCTCTCCAGCTGAGCAGTGCGGGTAAGAAGCCCGTCGGGACTGGAATTCAGGATCTCATCGCAAACTGACACCAACTGACGGCACTGAAGCATAAAACAAAGCACCATTTATTAACAGTATCAATTATTAATTATCAGTAATGTAGGAAGAAGTAAACAAGTACTTACTACAGATATGATGTCCTTTTCCTTCTCATAGACAGGCGTGTCGTGCTGAATGAGTGAAACAAAACAACGTGAGTTCCACCCCAACAATGCACCAAAATGAAACCACAGCGCTCTCTACGATGCCGTAATTGATTTGTGGAAATGGGACAATCTGACTCAAAACTCATGACCTATTTCCTCTTGAGCCAGGATGGGAAAGGTCAAAGGCTTTCCGGGGGCAGAGAGACATCACTCCCGGCTGGACTGAATGATATTGAAAAAAACACAGAATCCCCCTTTGACGGGCATCTGCGATATGATTGGCGGTATAACAAAGATTGATAATTATTGTAATTCCAATTCCACAATTCCTCCCTAACGGAGAAGTAAAATTGTGCAGCCCAACATTTAATGTATATATTAATATTAATATTGAAATATTCAATAACATTTGCATTTAGAGCAAGTCCCCACAAGCACAGGTGTGTGTACGCTGCAGGAAGGAAGGAAGCAGCCCAATTAAACTGCTTTAATCTGTGGTTTGGAGGGAGGTGTCCACAAAGCTCCTCCGGGCGTTTACAGCATAGGAATAAATAGACGAGCGTCACAAACCGCCGTTTGCAGCACTTGGCGAAGCGTCGAGTTGCGCGAAGGATTATAAAAGGGAGATTATTGCCGTTGAAATGTAACCAGGGATCAACAGTGAGCTCGGCTTGGTTTCTGGGCTAATTAAGGACTGTGACACACGGCTGCCGGTACGACCGGGGGAGTCATGACTGCTCCTCAGTTGCAGCGTTGTGTTTGATGGCTGACGGCAATATATTGATTTACACGCCCACACCACTAAAGGAAAACACCTAAAGCTGCTCCCATCCGTTTTCTTGACCCCATCTCGAGCTGTAATGTGGTCGTGTCACACTGGATTTAAGCTACTAACTTAATCAACTAATAAACTAGCCAGATGTTAGTGCTTCCTTCACAGCAGATGTTTCAAACTTCCTGATCAATCCATCTAAAAAGGCAGTAATGTCTTTTCATATTTTGATTTGGTTTTAATGCAACATAATTCAGTTCAGGTTTAGATTAGAAACTAACACGACATTCAAAGACAGGTTTAACTGTAATATGTTTTAACTGTTTGTTGTTTAAGACACTATGATTTAAATGGGTTTAAAATGAATCCTTGTTGTTGCACAACCCAGAGTTAGGGTTAATTTTAGCCACCACAGGAAAACGTAATACAATCTCATGGAAGAGCCGGAAGCCAAGCTATTTACAGGCTGTGCTATGTCACAGTAATGCTGTGAGCTAAAGGCTAACATGCTGTTACAATGAGCAACGGTCACCATCTTGCCTGTGTGTGTTGATATAGTTGTTGACACACTGAAATGACTATTTTAAAGTCCGAGGACCGTTAGTCAGTCAAGCCAGTGGCCTTTTTTCTATTGAGGACAATTAATGTCTTTAGAAACTATTGTGTCATCTTTCAAATAATTTACAAATTATGGAAATAAAAATGAAGTTAGATGCAGAGAGGATTTACAGGCACAATGGATTCAGAACATGTTGGAACCGTATGACGTGATCAGGTCTTTTTTTAGGGGGGACACTTTGGTGAAAGTTGTGGTATTATTAGTTGGGTTTTGAATAGTGTTGCTACCTCTAACCACACGCCATCCTTCCTGCTTTCACTTCATTTGTAACACTTCTTTCTTTTAAAAAATCTCACCATTGCTTTTTTGCTTTTACAGGAACATTCACACCTCAACTTTCAGTTCAATTTGGAGACTTCCAGACTACAGTCAAACCTGTTCTGCATTTCCTTTTAACAGGAAACGACACGCGTACGTACGTATGTGCGATGGCCAAAAGGTACACTTCTGCCCTGAAACATTATGTGTGCAACCACATATTCAAACATTTGATTGAAGCTATTTCACAAAGGTGCCTAAAAACATCTAAGAGTATGAAAAAAACAAAAACATTCTATAGATGTTGCAAAATTCCAAAGAGTCTTAAAGTGCATTTGCAATTTCCATTTCTGTGCACGCACACACATGGAGATGAAGCATATGATGGTTGTACATTTAGGTCACAGCGTTTCATTGTGGAGGCAGGGACACAAAAGGGGAGGAAAGGAGAATAATTTGTGAGAAGAGAAACTGTGGGTCATTCATTTATTCATGGCTCCCGACCAAAATACTTGAAAGCCTTGCTTCTGTTTTCTAAGGAATGCCTTAGGTTTTGCAATACAAGACGCACGAGCTGTTACATCACACAGTTGAGTTAATAAAGAGATGGACCTCTTTTAGTTGTCATTAACAAGTAATGCACAACAACGGCGTCAAAGTTCACTGTTCAACCCCACGCAGCTCGTGGACGAGTCCAGCAAAGTGTGCTACTTATAGCTCCCAATTCCTGCAGTGCCTTCGAGGAAAAAACTATAACTTTATTAATGAACCTCCTTGAGCCGCTGCGTGCCCAAACAACAGCACAAGCCTGAAAGTCCAACGTTGAGAATTGACCTTTTATTCCAATTCATTGTAGCTACGCTAGTTACATATTAGCCACAGCTTTACTGCAGACCATCCATAAATACCATGCAGAATGTGCTGCGCCCAAATGTATTGATCACACCAGAAATTCAGAGAAAACATGTTCACCAGAAACTTGCATCTGCCTCAATTCATAAGAAGAAAGGTTGTTTGTTGTGAAGGCTGGTCGATCAGGCGGTGAACAAACGTCTCACAAGTGTCCTGTGCCTGAAAGTTGTTCTCTCACTACAGTTGTCTAGGAAACAAAGAAAAGCTGTATGTGGGTGTAACACTGTATAAAACCACAACAAGATTGCAGGCAGGCATGAATGGACACTCGTAAGGCTGCGGCTCTCACACATAGACAACCGGTTTCCTGTCTTTCTGTTATGAAATCAAAGGCCTTGTCATCTTCTGTCTGTCTCTGCGCTTTGTTTGCATTCTCCAACTTGCCCGGGTGGATATTTTCTATTTGACACCAAGTCGTGGAACCCAGTACTCTTACTATAAAAATACGGGAGAGACATACCTAGGTTAGATCACTGATACACCTACTCCAAACAACTTCACTGTCCGCGTTCTCCTCCTTGCCTGTCACCTTCCCATCTCTCGCCGCTGGCTTTCTGTTCTCTGCTCTCTTTCTCATCAGCACCCTGAATAATAAGTCATAGCCCTTACTTCCGACAGCTACTCACATAGGTGAGGCCTTTTTCTTAATTCACAGAATTCATTTTTAGGCCACTCTCTTTGGTATTCTCTCCCATGTTTTTAGTAATTCCTCGTGAGCCTGAGCAATAAGGTTCATGTGGATAACAGAGAGAGGTGGATCATTGCATATTGATCAATAATATAAGCAGTTTTAGGTTGTTAATATCTTTCTGTTCAAAGAAAAGCATTACACAACCAGCATGTGCCCTTTTCCAAGATTTACCCCAGTAGCTCCTAGTTATTCAAGTGTAGGTTATATATTAAATGACTCGTAGTTATACTTTCAGGTGATGGTTGTTATGTCAAAGACGCTTTAAAGGTTTTGCAACATAAAAATGTTCCTCTTCTTTTTTTTGTGTGGAATCACTGTTAAACTCACATACCTTTGCGTAATGCTTCAGAATCCCTTTCTGCTCTCATATCCAAGTTCCCAGTTCAGAGCCCTCCCCGTCTCTCCCTCCTGGACTTCGCCTGCTGCCCGGCTCAAAGGTTCAAAGCACACACACACGCTTGTGTGTGTGTGTGTGCAACTACTCTGCTGTGGGATCCCAAAAAACACCAGCTGACTACTGACCTTGACTGGCCTAAGGGTGCTGGAACAGACACATGCACACAGGAAATAAGAGTCCTTTCTTCTGCGTTAAGGATGCGGTGAAGCTTCTGCGGAAGCAGTTGCCAAGAAAAAGACGTCGGGATAAAGCGATCACCTCCTGACAGCGCGTTAAAAATATCCCAGGGAGTGACATCAGCAATTTGAGAGGGGGTGATTCTACTGGTTGCATAAATAAGTCTGATTGATTAAAACCTGTATATATATATTTTTTAACTGAGGTTTATTACCTCAGTAAAGATTGTAATAACTGTGTGTTCTCAGTCGCTAGTTTTAAGTGTTCTTCATAAGAATATGATGTTTATGTGGTTATTTGTGGTCAATTTTAGAGTAAAATATACTCTGAAAGAGGCTATGCTTTAAGGTGGGGCTACTTTGTGATTGACAGGTTGCTACCATGACGTTATCTGGTTCGGGGAGGCGTCCGAGTTCTGGTCTCTGAACTTCACCACTTTCACAGTATGTTTTCAGTTCATGAATATGTCAAACTTGAGGCTTCAAAACGACAACACCCACAATTGGATGGGTGACTGTGACAGTCCATAGTTTATAATACTAGTTTAACTGACATAGTATGAAAGGAAATTGTCTTATCTGTATAAACAGAGCTTTTAGCTTTTAGCTCATGTTTCACTGTTCTTTTAAAAAAAATAACAAAACAGCTTGTGCCAAACCGCCGGATAAAATAGTTTTGGTATAAGACCACTTGGTTGTGCATTTTCATTTTTTCCTTTAAAACACCTGCGAACACAGACAAAGGTGCGCACACAAGTTCAAAAACAGGAATTGAGCAACAATAGCGAACAATGATCAACTTCTGTGAGGGACCAACTGCAGAGGCAGTGAGGGCTTTAACTTACTAATCACTTACTAAGTGTCAAGTGGACAATAAATGAAGGGAACAGCCAGCAGACCCAGATATGATTCACCTCACTGTCACCAAAACATCCAATCTGAGTCATCAAGCTCAATAAATGTCTAAAATCAATACTTCCTCCTTTCTCCACTGGTCCATACGAATAATGTTACTGTTACTCTGCGCACAGAGCATTTATCACATGCTAAATCTGCTTGAAACCAATCGTGTATTGGTATAGTTGTCAAGTTATATTTGAGTGACCCCATTATTAATAACCCCGTAGAGAAAAGAAAACACTTCCGACTTATAACCAAAAAATACACTCAGGGGTGTTTACATGTAGGGAGCCGCTTGAGCCATTTTAAGAAAATGCAAGAGCAGCAAAGGAAATATCACCCGGTGGAGAATTTTCCAAACCTGCAGGTGAGAACTGTACCTGTTGATGCCGGGCAGGCGTCCAAAGCTTTCTTTAGAAGGCTAAATATAAAATACTGAGCCTCTTCCTTCCTCCACAGCTCCTCCGATCCCTCCTTCTACATCTCTTTAATCTCCCATTCTGCAGCTCTTTCGTTTTGTCTTCTCCTCCGCTGTGAGGATATTTATCCTGAATATCACCACAGCGTCCTTTCAGACTCAATAGAGTCCTTCTGCCTGTTGCTCTGACTTCATTCAGAGACATGCACTCCCCCAGAAGTCAGTGCAATCCGTCTGTCAGTCTCCTCCCTCTTTCCCTGCCTTCCCCTTTGCGTGCTGTTGAGCCTCCTTCCCTCCCTCCCTCCCATCCCATCCTAGGCACTACAACATATCCAGGCCTGTCACTTCTACTACGTAGTAAAAACTGCTCACTCTCTTTACATCCAGTTATGGAGTACTACTTCTTCTCCCGTTTGGTTCACACTGCCATGAAGGAGTAGACTAACAAACTGCAGCCCTTCTCTTTGGCAAAGCTAAGCTTCTTCAAGGTACAGCCGCCTCCAAATATGCCAGGAATGTAAAGATAAAGAATTCATTACGCGGGCTGAACCGAGGATCAGGGAGTCTATTTTCTGCTTGTTTTTTTCTTGTTGCTTTCAGGTAGTCAGGTTAGTAAAAAAAATAAATCACAAAACGGGTTGTAGTTCCTCTTTGGAGGTTTAGTGTGCGTAACAACACCGCCTAGAAACATGGCTATTAGTTTGTGTTGTTCCTCTTAGTATATTTTATTAAAAGCATACATGAAATCACAAGTCAATCGAGAGTTGTCAGAGTGTTTAGCCATAAAGGGACCAACCTTGTGGACAATGTCTCCAAGCTCTTTGCAATTGTTGAAGATGTTCTTGCTGTTGGTGTAACCACTGAGCTGGGAAAACTGATACCTGGAAAGACAGGGATTATTATGTCAAGTAGGCTTGGATACATACTTCACATACTTTCAAGTCACACAAAGAGACAATTAAAAAGATCAAACATTCCCATACAAAGGCTTCACCTCGAATTGATTTGTCCCAAAGCCATTCCTTAGTACATAAAACCTACAACAGAGACAACAGCCACTGACAAGACGTAGCAGACGCAACATTTTCTGAGTGGAAAAAAACAACTTCAGAATTAAAATAGAAATTCGAGTACATGCAACGGTTAGATAACACCCCTCCTTACAAACCTGTTGAGCAGAGAGAAGAGTCCTTTGGCCGAGGTGATGAGCTCCACCACGATCTGCAGAACGGCAGCGGGCAGCCGGGTGGTGCTGCGTCCGTCGTAGGAGTTGAGGCGCCAGCGGGCCTGGATGCCCTTCTGCAGGGTTTGGGAAACGGCGCGCAACTTCCCCGTCAAACCGTGCAGGTTCTCGCTTCCTATGCCATACGTCTGGAGAGCACGCACAAAACAAACACAAGCACACACAACTTTATAAAGGTCTATTCCAAATACTACCAACGTATTATACAAAATGTAAGGTGTTTTATGTAGTATGTACCCTCTTATAACACTAAACAAAATGCAAGGGTGTATTTGTGAAGACACATTTCCTGTATGGTGATTGCAATATCACTGTTTTAATGTGATCTGATGAATCACACTATACCCCCAAAGACATTAAAGGGAAATGTACAGCGTTATGAACAGTATATAGGTACCCTTTCATCACAATGTGGATTTTTTAGTTTAATATCTGAAAACTGACTGCAGTTTCAAATATTTGATTGACCCCAGTAGAATATTTCTCAGTGTTTGTACCCATACAAATGAACTAAATTCATAATAACAAACCGCAGCAAAAGGGATAAAATAAACCGAACTGAAGCCCGTCGTCAAACTTTTTGCCCCAGACGGGGGAGACGTGACTCATCACAACCGCTGAAGAAGAAGCAAATTACTGTCGTGATCCACTTATTGGCGTTGAAGAGGTTTGGACCCGTCATGATTTGTCGTTACACATCAACCCGGCCGGAACAATCCCACATTATTATTATTAAGTGTCCATGCATAATTCATATCCTCGCTGATATTGTAATTGATAATTATGTAACAGTGTACTTGAATGTGTTTGGTCTGCTCCATGTGAGCATGTGATGGTTGATATTATGAATGAGCTCAGTGTTATCGCTTCATATCGCTTCATGGAGCATCAGGACAGAGACCAGGAGAAGCAAACACACACATATGCACTCTCAGTGCTCAGTGTTGAATAATGTCAATCTGTGTGTATAGGTTCTAATTTAAATATTAAACCATTTCATTTATTTCTGGCAGCAAAGCCTTTTTCACACACTCATTCATAAAGACTGTGGCTTAAACTGTTGAAAATGATTCATATCTGTTTCTTAAACAATTCGACGGGGAGCAGGTTGAGCAGCCTGTGCTTTAGCCCAATGGTCACGGCGGTGTTGTAGCACCCGGGAGGGAACTTGGCCTGATACTGTCCTGCTCGATGAGTCCCTCCCAGGACACACAGACACCCCCACACGCAAGACTATTAAAGTGTCCCGAAGCTCAAAATTGGTTAAGGAGTCAAATTAATTAGGCAGAAAAAAAATAAAGGGATAAAGAATTCAAGCGAGTGGGAGAGTTTAAGCTGACGACAAACCTTCCCTGGAATTGGAATATAAATCATTGGGTGAAAGCTTTGTATTCTGCTTTGGTTGCATTGAAGCAGTCCTTTGATGTTAGCAAACACTTAAAGTAACTATTTCACTATGGCAATGCTTTCCTGTGGGGGATTTCTATGTGAAAGCAAATTGAATGCAGTGAACTCAAACCTGCTGCACGTTGCTATAAGCTCAGAGTCTGAAGCAGTGTTGTGCATCCTGCCTGGAATTGCAAAAGGTTGTCCAACAACTGCTGGTTGCACTGTGCAAACAAGAGCAGGGTCTAACAACTGATGGTGATATTAAAACTTCTAAGATATAAGAGCAAGGGAAGAGGATGACTGCTCGGCAAATATCCAGTGCACAACGACACACACACACACACACACACAACAAACCACCGTGGCTACACGGAGCGCTGCTATGGACACATGCTGTACACAAACATGCTTCCGCTTAGGGCCTCACCAGAGAGCAGAGTTTCTCCACAGCATCCAGTATGAGCTCCTGGTGGCCGATCTTATGTACGCCCAACTTGTCCAGGTCTTGACAGGTCAGCTGGAGGAGATCCATACCCGACAAACGCCACTCAGAGACGGCGTACTGAGTCAGGGGGGCATCCAGACCTGGCAGCGGGACACAAAAGCACAAAGCTCGAGGATTCAGTGACACGAGGTGCACACACGGGTGTAAATGGCAACCCACACATAGTCATCAAGTCACGTGCATGTACAGGTACGGGCATGTAGAGGGAACATGGACTAACAGAAGCAGAATTCCAGCATGTAAAAATAATTCGGCAGGTTGGAAAACAGTAAAGATGTGTCTTTGAAACACAAGTGACTTATGGAATTCATTTTGAAGTAAACGTTTTAATATAATATTTGATGATGTTGTCATTGATGGTGTCATAACAGGAATATAATTTCTCCTAAATGTGCACGTATTTGAAATGATGACAACTTCCAAAAGGGCTTAACAAAATCAAATGCGGTTTCAGGTAATAGCTGGTGGTTGAAGTATAGTCTTCAAAATATTTTGTCAAGTAAAATACTCCTTGTATCGTACTAATCCCACATATATCGAGAGTAAAAAGTACTGATTGTGCAGAATGGCCCTTCTAAGCCATTAAGCTCAACACTTATTATTGATGTATTACTATGTAAGTGGTGCTTTAATGTCGGAGTAGATCCCAGTAGAACTAATAATATCCATTTCATATTATTGATGGACACTTTAATTTGTAACCATGAATCATATTTCATACACTTAAAATGTGTTTTGCAAGCAAGTTGTGATAGATGTTCAATAAATGTAGTGCATAGTATAATATTTCCCCGCGACATTTAGAGTACTAGTATACAATGCTGCCTGTGAATATAAACCGGTGTGATCCAACACAACATGTCCTCTCTAGAAGCTCTTTTCCGATCAACCACCTGAGATGTTGGAACCGATCAGAACAACACGTCCGCGGCCTCTCTCTCTCTCTCTCTCTCTCTCTCTCACACACACACACACACACACCCGGGCCATTTCCTCATTACCCCTCCACCTTTTACTTCCAAGAGGATTTGCGTCACGCCTCTATTTCCGACTCGAACCGTCCGTGCCAAAGTGTCCGTGAGGCGATCAACGCGTACTAAAAAAAAGAGAAGAGAAAAACAGCACAAGCGCGCAATATGTTCCTCACCTCGGAGCCACTCGCCGACTCTCTCCTCGCTCCACGACGTGATAGGCTCCATGCTCGGAAGCCTGCTGCAGTCGCTGGTTCAGATCCAAGCCCTCCTGGCTGACTTCTACCTCAATGGGCTGCTCGAGCAAAGAGAAGTTGATCCTGATTTGGAATCGGGCGATGACGACTGGCACTCCTTCTCGCAGGTACAGGTGAGAGTCCCCCCCCCTCGCCGCCAGCCAATGGTGGAGCTTCCCGGCTCCCGGCCTGGAGCGAGGACCCCTCCCTTCCACCCCTCCTCCCTCCTCCTTCCTCCTTACCTGGAGGAGTAGAAAGGTGTTGCAGCTTTTAAAGGCCTAACAACTTGCGTCAACTTTTGCGCACGATCAGGCGACGCGCAAAGGCGCAGACAACAGCAGTACCACTCCTACCTGTACAGTATAATGTAATTCAATGCAATAACCCTGTAACAATGGTGCCAATGTCCCCATTAACCCTATAAGATCACTCTCAACGTCACATACCTTTCCACTGGAGAAATATTTATTGGTAGAAAAATAAAGGTACACTACAAAACTTTTGTTTATCAATTTGTGGTGCACCTTTTCTGTTTCCTTTAAAGCGCATGCCATGTCAACAGACTTAGAGGGATAAATAACTATTCTCCTGACGGATGTAATCCTCTTTTCCAAGTCTTGGTTGGCTGGTTTCCTGGGACCTTGCCTGAAAATGTTTCCTCTTTATCCCTTGAACTGTGTTGACTTCTGGGCTCCAAAACATATATAAATACATCGCCTCAACTTTATCAATATTGTATTAATGATGTTTTTAAAGGATGAGAACATTGCAGCTTGCTGAATTATTTAAAGTGTTAATGAAGATATCAAAAGCATTCTGCTGGGGGAATAATTCATTAACAATTAATGACACAGTGTTTAAAGAAAGAAAGAACTCTTCAAATATAATATTGTTTTTTGTGTGGTTATTCATTTAGGTTTATGGTTTCTTGGTGGCCGAGCTGTTTGCAAAACTCATTGTTATGTTTTCTTCATAAGCAGCATATGCCCAGTAATGCAGGCTTCGGGTTATATGTTATTACTTAAAGTTGAATAATTACCTCCATAGAAATCAACATTATGCCTTTACTCTTAAAGGAGACTATGAATAAAGCAGTTTGCTCCATTCGTGCTTATCACATTGAGTGGAACCTCTGGGGATTCAGTGAACGGATCTATGCTGTCAGGTAGCAGAGCTGCTCTTTGAAGTTATGGTTAATGTCGGATAGATTGCCAAACAGTTCCCGACAAAGTTGAATGTTTCACTGCAAGGAAAGGGCAAAGCCTGATGAAAAGGCTGTATTGAAAGAGCTGCCCTCCGATATCTGGCACCCCCTGCTGTTATTCTCTTTGAAATAAGAGAAAGGGAAAAGTCAAACGTACATGGTATGTTGTCGCCATGTGTGTTGTATATTTTCTTAATGCCAATATTTTCAGATATCTCTTAAGAATATATTCATTTCTTATTCCTATGGTGGGATTTAAAGTGGGTTAAAAAATGCTTTTATCATCCCAGCATTAGTCATGGATATGTTTTGCATTCAAAACCAAACAGGAAACTAGATACTGAAAAGTGGAAAAGGGTTTTGGTCTTTGAGAATTCTGACTGCATCAGTATTGATCTTCTGCTGAGTCAAGATGTTTTCTGCTGCAGGGTAAATAACGGCGCTTGAATGTAATGCGCTAGTCTGATAAATCAAGTCTGATCGTATTCTTGGGAAACCAATGGATTGGAAAGTTCTGTTCCATTCATACTCAAAGTCTCCAGCAGTAGCCTTGCTCCTGTCCCGTCTAGTTCTGTGTTATTTTTCCACTTACAGGAGTACTTTGTGTCATATTTTATTGCTAAAGGTTTTCTGCCGCTCATTTTCTTATTGTACATTACTTTGAATGTTCACTTTAAACTCAACTATGACTTGATCTGTCACTCAGTGACATTCAATATAACACAACGATACTTTACAGTAGTTTATTTTTGCTGGATTGGAGATCAGCGTTCGTTTCCTATTAACAATTAACAACTTGACTTGACAACGCAACGTGCTTGATCTGCCCTTTTGCCCAGCCCAAATACCAGAGATACAAACTCAAGCCGTAACATGCTGCATCAGCTCGGCAGCACGCCCATTACAGTCATAAGCCGATGAGGTAGCCGGCTCCGTGTGCTTTGGGGGCTGTAACTGCAACGTGTTGTTCTTAAGCAACAATGGAGAATTGTGTAAAACTATTAGCCTCTCTCCCTCTCTCTTTATTTAATACCGATCAATATTGTCGTCCGATTCCATCTGCAACCTCATCTCACTTCTGTGACAAATGATTATGCTTCTTGTTGGAAGAGCAATAACACAATTTGGTCATCATCTCTACACGACACAGAGATCATTTTTAATCTTACAACGCCATACTGCGCCGCCGTAGTCAGCAGAGATTTAATAATTGCCCATGTTCCACTATTATGCAGCTAATTAATTGGTTCTGTGGCACTAAAGGCATTCATCTTTGTACTGGAGACATGAGATCAGAAGGAATTTCTAGTAAAGGTCTTAAAGCAATGTTGTAGAAGCCTGAGTTAAATTTACTCTAACTAGAAATATAATGTCCATTAGTCTTTGCATGCTGCATTTATCTGCACTGTAGGTTATTTAGTGTTGTGCTTTAATGCTGGTATGTTTTGGTCTTTAAGTGTATTCCTGACTCCCGTGTTACAAAGTAATCCCTTGGATTAACTAAACAATTTTCTTGATGCATCAACTATATTAAATGTACTTTAGATGCGGTTCAGGTTTTATCATTCTTATCCCAAATAAAACAGTAAAACAGAATAATGATCAAACACAAAATATGCTAATATTTCTATTCAATATCACAAATAAAAAGCAGAAACAAGTGGACTAAGATCAAAAACGTAAGCATTAAAGTCAAAGAACAAAAATAAGGAAACAAAGCTGAACAAATATACATGTGACGGATTGGCAAAGTCTACTCTAAGGTGCTGGAAAGGAGGGTTCGGCCGATAGTCGAACCAAGGATTGAAGAGGAGCAATGCGGTTTTCGTCCTGGTCGTGGAACAACAGACCAGCTCTTCACTCTTTCCAGGATCATAGAGGGGGCTTGGGAGTATGCTCAACCAGTCTACATGTGTTTTGTGGACTTGGAGAAGGCGTATGACCGGGTCCCCC